AGAAAGACAAAGAGAGAGGGAGAGAGAGTGACAGAAAGACAGTGACACATTGAGAGGGAAGGAGGGAGGGAGAGAGGGAGAAAGAGAGAGAGAATAAATATCTCTGTCTCCGTTTCACTCTCTCTCTCCCTTCCCTCCATCCTTCCTTCCCCATCTCCCTCCTTCTCCCTCTCTCTTTCTCTCCCCCTCTCTCTCTCTTTCTAATAAAGGGTTTCAGAAAGAATTTTAGGTTAAAATAGTTTATTTTTTCAATTACATTTTTTATTATTATTTTTCAATATTTTCGACCTCTCCTCGGTCCCCAATTATCATGAGCGGACGACATTTTATATAAAAATTCCATAAATCGCTCCTGCTGGATTCTTGCTCCCGCCCTTATGCCACGTCTTCTTTGTCCTATATATTATTGTCGCAGATCCGACGGATGAAGTTCCCGTCGGCGAGCGACCGAGCGCGCTGATCTCGCCTAGCGCTAGGCGCGGTGAGGTTGAAAGGGATAGCCGTATGACACAATATATGTAAATCACAATCACTGCTTTATTTAGCGTTACAAAAACTAAATAACGTTGAGCGCGAGCGAGGATCGACGGTGACAGCGGTGCGACGGAGATCTTCTTGGTGCCGACGGCCGGGTCAGCCGATCGCGACGGAGATCTTGCTGAGCGCGTCGGAGGCGCTCCGCGGACGGAGATCTTGAGCGCGAGCGACGGAAATCTTCTGCGTCCCGGACACCCGCGTTCGCGTCCGTCGGTCCTGCGCCCCTGGTTGCACAGTTCACAAACAGAGATTAAAAGAAACACTTTGAGATGTTCAATTGCACGTCGATGGTCAGCGGCCGTAGACGCGGAGGCAACACTGACCAGGTTGAAGAGCAATTGAGCGCGGTTGCTTTAACGAGCCGACGGTTGCGAGGAGAGCAGCCAGACCGGCGATGAGAGAGCGAGGCGAGAGCCGGCCCGAGAGATTGAGAATAATCTCTGGCGCTCGACAAGCCTCGTTCGAGAAACGAAAACCGCGAAGCTGCACGCGAACCGATACAACTGAATCGTAACTTGTGAGATCAGATGGTCAGCTTCCAGTTCGAGAGAAACGACGAACGGTCGCGAGGAGCAGAGTACCGGCTGCTCCAGTGCTCCGAGAAAACAGCTGATCGAGCTGGTCGAGCGCACGCGACGTTCACAACGTTATGAGCGGGATTGCCCTCGCTGCCGACGAGGTGAGCTTTTAACGAAAAAGCTCTTGACGACAAAGCGATCGCTTATTGGTTGCGGTTGTCAAGCGGCTCGCTCGCTGCGAGAAAAATGCCTAATATGGACCGCTTGGCAACATCGGCGATCTAACGTGAGAGTAGACTCGCGCCTATATTTTATTTGTTTGGCCGAATAGTTGTCGTGGCAACCGCGACAAGCGAGCGAACTGTAGCGTGAAAAAAAGCGGCTTCACGCGGGGGATCGCTCGGTTGTCGCTAAGCGACTTGCTCGACCGAATGTTCTAGAACATTCGGTCGATTTTTCGAGATTGCCTGTTGCGATCTCGAATAATTATAAATATATGTATTTTCGATATACAATATTATTTGAATTTATTAATAAATATAAGTTTAGAACCGAGTTTATAAATTTAAAGCCGGTACTACATTTTACACATTACGGATGCGGATTGGACTCGAATTACGAGCTGCGAATCGTTAACTAGCCAATAAATCTGACTATTTCAGTTAAACTAGCTAGTCAACGATTTGCAATTTACAATTAAAATCTAGTTCGCATCCGCAATGCGTAGTGTAATATAAACTAATTCGGATTTGAAAATTACCCAAATAGTGCAGATAATGATAAAATACCTTGTAAATGGGCAAAAGCCGGAGCAGGAGTGGCAGCGACAGCGGGAGCTGGAGGACCAGCAGGAACGAGAGCTGGAGGGCTAGCAGGAACGGAAGCTGGAAGGCCAGCAGGAACGAGAGCTGGAGGATCAGCGGGAACGTGAGCTGGAGGGCCAGCGGAAGCGAAAGCTGAGGCGCCAGCAGGAGCGGGAGCTGGAGGGCCAGCAGGAACGTGAGCTGGAGGGCCACCGGGAATGGGAGCTGAAGCAGCAGCGGGAGCGGGAACAATTTTATTTCCCTCATTTGGATCTTCTATCTCCATTTCAAGCAATTCTTCTTCTAGGCTAAACTATAAAAATAATATATATTATAATATATAATAATGAGAT